ATGCAGGATGCAGTAAATTAAATTAAATATAAAAAAGTATTTGCTTACTAAATTTCTTAACAAATCAACAGTTATGAAGTTTTACAGCAAATGTCGAGAGTCACAAGTTTTTTTGTAGAACTATCAGCGCCCGCTAGTATTAAGTATGTAAAGTAAATATGTTTGGAGATTACTGTAATACCCTAAAGGAATCGATATTATCTAAGTAGAGTTTAATAATAGAAATAAATATATGCAAAGAATAGCTCTATATCTTGATATGGCCATAACTGGTGCGTGGCCATAACCGGAGTCTCTACCCTAATGCTACCACTCCCAAAGAAATAACTAAAGTAATGATAAATAATATCAATTTAACAATGCCCAGTGATTTGATAACAGGAAAAATACTACAACAATTACCTAGAAAGACTATCGTAAAACTAACAATCCTGATAAATGCAGCAAATACCTACCTACCAATAGCGTGTTAAACAGCTGAACATATCTTCTACAATCTCCTATTTTCTCCATACACCATGAACATATTCTCTTGTTTCTTTTTGGTATATACTTACCTATACAAAGTACCTATCAAATCATTTTTGTAATCTGTAAATGCTGTAAATCTTTTTAGTCGCTGTTACATATTTATACAATAATTACAATATACAATTTCATGAAGGAGTCTGCGCAGTCGTCACGGTGTAGAGAAAACGCTTTTTCCAAATACTCAGTATCTCTAAGTTATCTTAAAATCACAGATAATGTATGACATAAAGAAGAACATAATTAGATCTATTATGTTGAACATACTGAACTCTGTCATTGTTCTTGAAAGATATTACGATAACAAATAATTTATGGTCAAATGATTTGCAATTGAATAAGTGATCCAATTGCAAGTGAAAATAACAATGAGTACAATAACAATTAAACCAAACAAGAAATATCCTGAATTAACTCTGTCTTGTCTGCACAATATTCACACAGTACGAAATGTTTAGTAAGATAGAGATCTTTTGCCGATAAAATTATATAATACTAGTTCAGCGAAATCAAAATAAAGCAATTATGCAGGCCGGGATTTGACCTGAAATCGAGGACACTTATTTCTGTAGTTAAACCAATAAACGAATCTTATTTACTTAAATGTTTGATTAGGTACTATTATGTTGTAAAGGTTCTTTAAAGATTATATTGTTTTGTATTTAAAGACATCTTCTCACACTTACAAACAATTATTGACCAACACTTCTTCTTCTTTCAGTACTCTGTCCGATTATCGAACGTTGACGATCATATTGGCAATAATAACTTTATTTACGGCGACTCTAAATAAATTAGCGGTGGTTTCTTGATACCATTCTCGGAGATTTCGGAGCCAGGATGTTCTTCGTCGGCCTGGGCCTCTCTTCCGGCGATCTTACCCTGTATTATGAGGTGTAGAAGGTTATACCTCTCTGGATGTCTCATTAATGACGAAATATTGTAACTTTGATTGACTATGACCAACACTGCATTGACTATATTAAATTCTTGTATATTATAGGCTCAAGGCACATCATAATTAAACTTTGATCAAATAAAAGTCAAATATCGAGCACAGTTTTATTAATTAAATCTTGCCCAAGTACTTTCGCTTCCTAGAGCATCTTTAAGGGCATTTCGTCAATTGTGGCCTATTCAACAAGAATAAAATGTTATAAACATAAATTTGTACATCACACTACACTACACAAGGACAAACATATTAAAATTTTAAAAATAGGCGAAGCTACATTACTGAGGGTTTTTACCTCCAAATTCTTTATAACTGAATCGATTCATTTGAAATTTTGTGTGTTGGTAAATAATTACTCAAGGAACAAAAGTTATATAGTGCCGATGTGCGCTTCCACCCTGGGGGTGTTTGCCACCCCTTTTCGAGGGTGGAAATTTTTTCACTCAAAATAACCACGCTATTCGATAGAAGGACAAATTTCAAACAAAAAATGTAGTAAACATTTTTTTGCTAGATCAATACTTTTTGAGTTATTCGCTGTTGAAAAGTGTCATTTTTCGTTAAAAAAAACATGTTTTTCAAAGGTTTTTTAAGAATAGCTCTGAAACTAAGAGTTTTATCAAAAAAAGTGTAACGACTAAAATTAAAGCTCATAAAAAAACAAAAAGATTGGCTTTTTAATTAATATTTTCAGTTGAATATTAACTGAGTTATGGCTGTTCAAAGAAGGTTTGTTTTTGTTTTTGTCTTTCAATACGAGTATTTAACGTTAAATAACGGAAAACGAGTACATTTTTCGACAAAAACTATATAATATTTTTGAAAGAGCTTGAAAAGACCTTTAAAATGAGTGGTGGTAAAAGTCCTTTGCACCAACTGTACGTGAGATACGATCAAAAAAACGATGGGTTTCTCAAATTTTTGTAAAAAAAACGCAATAAAACTAACGTCATGTTCACTAGGATTGAAATAAATTGTTTTCCTTATAGAATTCACTTTATTTTAGTGTTTTTTGTATGATCCAAAAGTTTAGCCACTTTAGAATACCCAGTTTTTGAAAAAAGTATGATTACATTTTTTTTTGTAAATATTAAAAAAAATATTTTTTTTATAATAACTTCAAAACTATAAAAGATACGTAAAAGATGACATAATACAAAAAAATAGGTTTTTTTTTCAACAAAAATTTTCATTTTTTAATTTTTTTTGTAGCTTAAAAAATAACGGAGATATAGTTGGTTGAAGTTTGCTTTATAGCGCATGAACCACTGGTCTCCGACCCTTTGACCCTTCACCCTTTAAACATGAAGGACTTTAGAATGTTTTAACATTCCTATACTTATAGCCCGTTAAATTACCTGTAAAATCGTTTTTTTATGCATGTTGTAGCATCAAAATTAACCGAGTTATTGTAAAAAAACCAATAGTACTTTTTAGAATAAATTTTGGAGCATGGAAAAATTTATAATTTGGAGCATTGGAGCATTTCGATGGAACTAATAGACATTTAATATATACATACACTTCATCTAATTTATATAACGATGCACGTCATCGGCGTCATAGCCTGTGACGTTACATGATACCAACACAAAATATTTAGGGTGTAGGTGTGTTCTTTTTTAGAATCACTTTACCGAGTACACTGGCATTACAGCCACTAGACATATTTTATTATATACGCGTAGAAATAATATTTAAAAATTTCTATTAATGTTAACTTAAAGAAATACACAATAATATGTTTCATTTAATTTGTATAAATGCATTATAAAGCGTTTTTATCAAGAACATTTGTTCGGAACACACTGTAACTGTAATCGAACAAAGCTAAAATTTTGGCATAAATTGGTAACACTTAATTACTATTAAACTGGGAATAAGCCACAATTAAAGATAAAAATACGTTTATTGACGTTTCAATTTCCACTTCGGAAATCGTTCTCAAAATACAAACAGTAAATTAAACAAATTTTGTTTTTTGTTACATAGTGAAAAATTCTTCTAATAATTTAATTTTATCTGACTCATTTATATTGACAATTCAGACATACATTATGCATTTTAAAGTAGACGACTTTAAAATGATATTGCCAATATTGTTGAGTTGCGCTCCTGGGACGACTTTACTTATAAGATAGTTCATTCGATTACATGAAATCAACTTTAACTTGAGAATATCCGTCAGAAAAAAATCATAGCATGTAATTCGTCTTTAAAAAGACAAACACATGACATGATGACAGTAAAATTCTCCTGTTAGTGATTCCATAGTAAATTATGAGGGAAAAACCAGGAAAAAAACCTCATAATACTATCCCGACATTGTAAGTATTTGTTCGTGAATTTAGTTTACCTTCAACAAACATCAAAATTCTGATTTTATATGTTACGTTATTTAAAAAACATAAATGATGTATCCTCTATATGTTACTGACTTACTAATACTGGTATTTTCTTATTAATAACTTCCTCTTTCAATATTGGTAACCAGATCCTACTACATTCTGCCGAGGAATTTGCGACACAATTGGCCTCATTTAGCATAATTAGAGCCGCTTCTTTGATTTTTCTTTTTTTACCATCCGTTTCTTTTAGGACTACATTTGAATTATTCCATTGAACCCTATGTTCATTATCCCATGCGTGTTTACAGATTTGAGATCTATCAAATTCTCTATTTTTAATATAAGATTGATGTTCACTTATTCTAACATTTAATGGCCTTGATGATTCACCTAAATAAAACTGATCGCATTCACAAGGTATTTTATAAATGCAATTCTTTGTCCTTTCTTGTTCATTGTTAGGTTTGGTTTTGGACAAAATAGATCTCAACGTGTTTGTTGTTTTGAATGTTGTTGAAATGTTGAATTTATTTCCTATCCTTTTAAGTTTTTCTGATAGTCCTTTTATGTACGGTATTGTTATTTTCCTCATATTATTCCTTGTGTATGCTGTAGGATCTCGTTCTAAGTTGTTCTGTTCTATTCGATCGATTGTTGAAAATTCCTTATTTATAAACGATAAAGGATAATCATTTTTTAATAAAACAGATGTTAACAAATGTTTCTCCTCCAAGAACGAATTTTCATTAGAACAAGTAATTTTGGCTCTATCGTATAAGGATTTAATTATTCCCTTTTTTACATTAATATTGTGATTTGATTTGAAATTTAAATATCTATTGGTGTGTGTTGGTTTTCTATACACCTGAGTCTCATATCCAGTATCGTTCTTAGAGATTAAAACATCCAGGAAAGGTAGCGTGTTATATTATATACACAATCTGGAGTAATTATTATATACTGGAGTAATTATTATGTTCGGAAACCGGAGACAGAATGGTTCCCGGTCTTAAAATGTTAAAATTATATCTGGTAACTTTAGAGTTACAAGGGGCAATACAGGTTTAAGATTAATACCAAAACTTTTCTTTGAACCTTACAGTATACGACCTGTTAAATGTTAAATGGACAAACTATAATGTTACGTACTATAAATTTGAACAACTCAAATGGTAAGTCTACCTCTGAAAATACAAGAATTAAACTCTTTGGAGGACACCGTTTCTATTCTTTTAATTTCTCCTTGTGAACTGGCACGCATAATTATCATTATTATACCATTAACAAATAAATGCGTATGTTGATAGGTTTAAATCGTTACAAATTACCTAAAATACAATTAGGAAATTGCTTGATATCAATTATTTTTTTTAAAAGCTCGTTTGAAAAAATACTTACTATCTTAATATATCTATTTGACCATAGAACTTATTCTCTTTTTTTCTCTCTCACCATCTAATCTATGAACATTTTGAGTAATATTAAATAAACGAGATTTAAAATAATTAGTAAAACTTATACCATGCGGTCCATATGTATGGAATGAATTCATTTTAGCGTTATTATGTAGTATGTGAAAAAAACCTGAAACAGGTCGATTTTTATTCTTAAAGTGACAATTTACAGTATAAAAATATTATCCCCCTCCAACACCCCCTTTGAATTATAAGCACACCCTCGGAAATTTTAAATAACAAAAGGGGTTGTGTGACACCGTGTTAGAAAGGATTTTAGTCCTCTGTTCAGAAATATAAAGTTTTTTAAGTTTGGAGCAATTATAACTGAGAAAAGTGATTTTTAAGATGTAAATTTTTTTTTATTGAGTTAATGCCTCGACAACTATGATCATTGGCATGGTACAGTCAGGTACCTAGTGTAGTGTGTGTGTGTGTAGAGTAATTGTCTTGATACTTAGCAAAGTCGACGTCATTGTCTTTGCTAAGAGACGCTAATTGTATCCGAACGTCTGCGGTCCCTCTGGTGAGTACCGATCGCACAAGGATAGAAATTATTTTCATTCATTAATTTTTAATAAACGAAAATTTCCACCCAGGTGAGATTCGAACTCACGACCTTAGGTTTAAAGGTAGGCGCTCTTACCACTGAGCCACAGAGGGGGTTGATGTAAAATTTTGATAATGTCCCTATCACAAAACTTTAGGTTGAATGACGATAATAATTACACATAATATTTAGAATGTATTTTTCAAAGTACTTTACAATTAAATTAAATGTTCAAAATGACCACCATTCACTTCTTAACAATAACCGAGGCGATTTTGGAATTCCGAAGGTATTTTTTTTGGCAGAACCCTATTTTGATAATAAAGAAATTACCTTTCAACTTTGAATATTTTTCATGTAAGACTGTAAAAGAAGGAAGAAATTATGAATGAAAAATAATATTATAAGGAATACAAAATATTTATTATAGAAAAATAAATAAAATAAGTAATTATAACTATTTCATGTGAAGATTGAAGTTTTTTACACATTTTTTTATAATAGTATTATAATGTTTTATTAGTCATAATTTATTGTCTTTATTCATTTATAAAACTCCGATAATTATCAAGTCTTATTTATACTATTTATTTTACACTTAATAATTACAAATAATTTATTGCGTTCGATACAATTTAAACCACGTTCCGCGAGTTTCTTTTCTTCACTGCTGCTCAATGAAAATCTTCCGTTATTTATTTGAAACCAGCTGGTAAACAGAATGTTGTGGAAAATACGATGCCGTTCTCGACGTAGACACAGCGGCAATGATCTAAAAACTGGTATCGGTGCGATTCCAGAAAGCTCTTATTTGTCGTTTTATAGCGAAGGGGACCCAACGGGTGTCAGGTAGATTTTGACCTAGAAATTACGAGAATCAATAAAAAAGAATTAGTCATAAAATATTTACAGTTCTATACGCCATAACATTTAAAATCGTAACAGTATTAAAATTAGGCTTAATGTCTGACAATTGAATACGAAGATCCGGAGCTGCATCCAGCCTATTTCTGAACTTGTTTTTGGTATAAGCGTAAGCTGAAAAACCAGTCTCGCATCGGTAAGTCCTCACAAAAGGAAATAGAACCATGATAGCTTTCTCAACCATTGCGGGGTATGCATCTTTAAGTGCAATTCAAAAGTCATTCAGATTAGAATCTTCTGATTCGAATTTTTGTTTTAGAAGGGATGAATACTTAATGTCGATCAAATTCTCATACTCTGGCATAGTAAGCATCGATGGCTTGGTATGTTTTGTGAATGGATTCTGAAGCCAGTGGATGTCCTGTAACTTCTGCGGGCAATAATCTTTCAAGGATTTGAATTCTTCTCTTCTCTTGAAGGATCTTCTCTTCCAGGAAGTTATTTAAAAGAGTAAAACATTGGTAATTTATTTGTTCCACATATTCTATACCGAAGCAAATTTTGTTTTTAAGGGACGATATTTTGTCTTTTACTGTAAATGTGGTTACTGTTCTTCCTTGTAGGGACTGGCAGAATACGTTGAGTTTATCGAATATATCAGCTAAGTAAGCCAATATCATCAACCATTGCTCATCATGCAATAGTTCAACAAGCGTACTAACAGATACAGAAATGGATTGTTCAGCAAAGAATATCGTAAGCTCGTCGCGCAATTAAAATAATCTTGATAAAACTTTTCCTTTTGAAAGCCATCTTTTGCCGACATAGCTGCAGCTCCGTCCCTGCACACATCAATACATTTGTTCCAGTCAATATAGTGTTTAGTCATATAATTATCAATGACTTTAAAAATTTCTTCTCCTCTTGTGTTGGTCTTCAAGGGTGTACAGAGAAACAAATCTTCTTCAATTGATCCTTCGAAGGGGTATTTCACGAAAAACAAGCAGTATTAATAACCCGGCGACATCTGTACTTTCGTCAAATTGTAAAGCAAACATCTCACTGTCTTTCAACCTACAGACTAATTCATCTTCTACATTCAGCACGAGCAATTCTGTAACTTACCAGGAATGATGCTTTTGTTGCGTATATATTATCTGTTTTAACATATCTCTGTAAAGCAGCCATACCGATTTTATGTACTTCTTTGTATCTTTCAAAAAAGTTTACACTTTTATCTTTCAGTTGCGGATGGTTGGTGTCAAGATGCCGTTTAAGCTTTGCAGGTACAAGAGAGCTATTGCACATAATTTTACTGCAAATAACGCATTGTCCAACTGGATTGTTAGCAATTCCCACAGGAATAAATCCGAAGGACAAGTAGGATTCATCATATTTTCTCTTTTTTGAAATAGTTCTCTCGTTAGATTCAGCCTTTTTGTTGGTCGGTGTATTTTGTCGGTCTTGGCCAGCACCAGGGTTTTCCGTATTTACTTCCGTACTCTGTAATAAATTGTTAATGATCAGCAAATGACATTAATAAATAACCAGCAACAACAATAAATAAACTATATATAAATAAAAAACAACAAAAATATTAAATAAAAGTAAAAGTGGTCATTGGTTTTTTTTTGAACCTATTCTCTATCCTTCCATTGTTGGATATAGGTCTCCCCCAGTTCTCTCCATCTTTCCCTATCTTGAGCTGTTCTCTGCCATGTGGGACCTCCTTGTTTCCTGATGTCATCTTTCCACCTCATCTGTGGTCTGCCTCTTGATCTCTTTGCATTGTATGGACGCCACTTTCCGATGGCATTGTTCCATCGTCCGTCTTGGAGACGTTCATTGTGTCCAGCCCATTTCCATTTCAGTTTTGCTGCTTGTTCTATCGCGTCTACTGTCTTTGTTCTGGTTCTGATCCACTGGTTACGTTTTCTATCTTTAAGTGATACACCCAACATTTGTCTCTCCATCGCTCTTTGTGCCTTCCTTATCCTATCCCAATTGGCCTGTGTAAATGTCCATGTCTGTGCTCCGTAGGTGAGCACCGGTATTATACAGGAGTTATATAAGACTTCAATTTTAAAGTGTTTCCTGTCATATATTTCGTTGTCTTTGTTTTCTATTCTTCAGTTTTATTAATCTTATTATATTAGATATATTATAATATAATCTTAATAAAAACCATTTATTGATAGTGAATTATTTTTATTCCAGTTCTCTTCACACTATTAGGAACCTTATCTGTAAGTATATATGCATTTATGGCACTTAAAATTAACTAGATTAACATAAAACATTAATAGTTTTAACTGTTAAAAACTGTTTAAAATGGTAAAAAGTAATCATCAACTTTTGAATTATAATAATACACCCTTGATACTCCGACGTTTTGCAATCGGACACGCTCAGTAGTCCGACGCACCTGAAATTTTTCCATCAAAGGTTTTCAGTACTTTTTTCCACTAGGATCATATTTCGTTTTCATGCTATCATATTTTTAGGGTTTTTACTCCAGTCATCACAGACGAAAATGTCACTGAACCTTTAAAAATTATACAAATAAGCTGAATTTTACTGAGAATGTCAAATTGGGGATCCCAAAATGTATGCAAATAAATTTACTACTTCTACCCCCGGCTGCACCCTAAAACCTCCCCTCATGTGAGGGAATCGAAAAAAAAAACGATTAATAATTATCAGCCATAAATCCTTTTTTTTTATTATCAACATATTTCTGGTTTACTAATAAATGTGATCCCTAAATACTCAAATTTTAAATTTTTTTATCTATGTTGTTCCTTCTTCTGTTGTTATTGCCACGTTACATTGTTCATACTTATTTTCTGTTCACGCCAGGTTTTTGGTTTTTAATTTATTAATAATTATACATTTTTTGCTTCTTTTACATATGGCTCAACAACCATTGTCTACTTCTGACTAGTACTTTTATATTATTTAATGATTTAGGCGCAAGAGGGTTATAACTATCCAACACCTTCAAGACCCTTACCAGAAGGACCACAGCGGCCAGGAGAACAAGGCAGGCCAGGGGGACCTAGACGGCCACCTGGCCAAGCGGGAGCACCAGACGGAGGATATCCCAGTGGAGCAACTAGACCTGGACAGCAAGATCAATCTGGTTATCCTGGAAGGGGCAGACCATCGGGTCCCGAATTTACTCCACGACCTCAAGGTATGAAACAGTTTGCATTAAAAATATTCGCGAAGTGCTAAAAAATATAAAATAGCTAGTGCTTTAGTCGTTTTTAAAATTAGACCAATAATTTGCTAAACACTAAAAATTTTAACTTTTAAGTTTAATACCGATCAAAATTCATCTGTGTGCAGTTCTTTTTTTGCAAGTCGAATTTTCGTAAAAATACAAATCCGTGTTAAATAAAGAATTTTCTCCGCAGCCTTTACAGCATTTCTTATGCATAGAACACCATACAAAATGCCAAATGTGTCAAAAATGCATGAAAATAATTCTTTAAAAATTAACTTAAAATTTTATTGAAGGTACTACAAATCACAAGTTAGTTTTCGGTTCGCTGAATGAGTTTAATGAGCCCGGCTAAATTTAAAATGTAAAATTTAAATGGGTTTTTTATTTGAAAAAATAACAATCAACATAACCTATAATACCATTGACACAGATAATATATATTAGTTACATTAAGCTAAGTACTATTGACAACACTGTTCTATTTTTCCATTTAGCCCATACGACTTTGTCACAGAATAATAAACAATCAGAATGCCCACTCTCCATGGAAAATTAAGTACGCGCATCTCCTTTGCGCAGACGTTCCGTCATGTTTTAGAGGAACCAGTGTTGTTTATGTGGTGTGCATAGAAAAATTAACCCGGTTTAATTGAGCTTACGGCAATCATAGACATACTATACAATTCTATTAACATTGTTAAATATAATAACATAAATATAATATAATTAAACATAAATATAAACAATTACATAACCTCACAAATCATATGTCTGTGTTATGCGTTTCCTTCTAAAAAATGCACTATTATCAAAAAAAAGTCGTGGACATGCAGTCACCTTGTCATACATATACCTATTTTAATATGTTCCGCATTTTTCTTCGCTGTTATGACCTCCGTT